CAGAACCTCAGCTCTGCTGCACATCTGCAACACCAGAACCTCAGCTCTGCTGCACATCTCCAACAGCAGAACTCAGCTCTGCTGCACATCTCCAGCACCAGAACCTCAGCTCTGCTGCTCATCTCCAACACCAGAACCTCAGCTCTGCTGCACATCTCCAGCACCAGAACCTCAGCTCTGCTGCACATCTCCAATGCCAGAACCTCATCTGGACCTCATTTCCCAAAGCAGAACACAGCTCCAAGCTGTCCCCAAACCAGCATTGCACAGAACTGACCTGAATCAAACACCAGCCCCACAACAGCTGCACTTCAAACATCAGCTGCCATCTGAATTCCTGTGTGCTCATGGCTGGTAACTAAAGCAGAGGAAAATTTGCATCCAAAACTTTGCACATCCAATCAAAAGCGWAAAGTAAATCCTAGTTTTGTTTTCCCTTTGCACAAGCATGGCATTCTTTATTTAGATGAACAGATACACGTGTATTATAAACTTGTGTCATCCTGTCTCCAGCCCAATAATCACAGATCATTTCAGAAACCTTCCTTTCACTTGTTGGAGTCGTCATTTTTGAACATGGGTGACCAAAATTAAATACTATATTTTGGGTAGCTTCAACACAATTTCATCTATTTCAATTCCAATCAATGGCATTAATATTTCCTTTCTCTWTCCTTTAATGATCTCATCTGACTATTGTGGTTATTTTGATGTTATGGTGTGCTTTTACCAGTTTTATTTAACCAGTGGAAAGGCAGACATAAAAAACYCAGGCTGATTAAGACAGAATAACTCTATTTTATAGGCTAACTTCAGCTCCCAGCTCTGCTGGGGCTTGTGTGTCAGCAGCTGAGGCCCAAATCAACTTTTATACCTGGAGACTTTTACTTCTGAGTTAAAAAAAAAACACTAAACTTCAGATGAATTTTTCCAGGTGCCAGATGTAATAGGAAAAATGCATTAGGAACAAAACGAAAATCCCAAATAATTTCCTCTCGTCTGCAGCAAGCCCAGGGCCCGCCCCAAATTCTTCACACCATGAGCAGCAGCTTCCTCTGTGCACAGGACAAAGCTCATCTTCTGTGCCACATTTCCTTTGGGGCTCCTGGAGCAGCCAGCCTGCACTGCCATCCCCATCCAGACCTCACCAGGCACAGGGAACAGGATCCAGAGGGATTGGGAGGGGTAAGTGCCACTCCCAACTCTCCCTTCTGCATTTTTGCCACAGTTCTTGTTTCTGTTTGACTTTGGGGTTCTTGCTGTTTCTGTGTTAAATCAGAAAGGAGCATCTTTTCCAGAAATATCACTTCACTTTTTCCAGCCTGTCCTTTTAGGATGTTTACTTGGAAAAAAAAAGAGCTCCTGTAGATTTCTTGGAAAATCCCAGATGAGTACCTGGATTCAGAGCAAAGGCATTCAGAATAACTCACTGACAAACACATAGGAGATGGTTAAAATGAGCATTTCAGCTTCCCTGTGATGAAGTTTATAATTTCCTGCAACATTATTCCCATTCAATTTACAGGAATGTGGGATTTTGATTGGGAGTCTAAAGCTGCCTAATTTAATTTKGAAAAGCTAATTACATAGTTCTTCAAAATAAATAGAAGGAAATTTATTTAAAACATAATTATTTTTTCCTATCTTTTCAGTCATTATTAWATGAAACTTGCTAGAGAAAAAAATTGTTTCAGTCTATTTTAAGTTTCACTTGGAAATATTATTTTGAACAATTATTTTCCCAAATTCATTCTACAGTGTCATAATTTTAGTTCCTTATTGCCTTAGAATGTAAAAGCTTTTAGAATGTAAAAGCTTTTACTCTGCTGCCAATGGGTCTGTTCTAACCTGCTTGTTATTTTTCAGCTTCTAAATCATTCAAAATTATACTCTATTTCAAAATCATGCTTGGTAGGCTCCTACTGCTTACCTGCAAACCAACTCATGCAACTGTTTTAACTTCTGGAGTTGAAAAGGAATTTTCTGTCAGTGTAGAGTGCATTAAACCCCAACACTCTACAGAATCTGCCGTTCTCCAAGGAACATCCATGACAATAAATGGTCAGATGTTTCTGCTTCAATACTTCCTTATTGCAAATTAATTGGGAAAAAGGAAAAGAAGAAAATACATTTTAATTACAGGATGTACAAAAATCATAAAGAAAGGTGGTTTTGAGATCAGAGATTCCCCAGCCTATGCAATGGAGTTTGTATTTCAGATTCCAATCGTGCCCCAAGGTTTGCTACAGATTTTTAAACGCAAAGGAATTGTAGGAAATAGAAGGAGGAAAGGATTTTAGACGTTTTAAACTGCCAAAAAAAAAGGGGCTGGGCTAGAAGTCTGGTGGGATCCATTCTCTAGAAGTGGAAATGATGTAAGAAAAGGGATCATTACCCATTCCATGTTTATTTTATCCCTAAAAGACAAGCACTACCAGATAAGCAAAATTTCCAACTCTCTGTTCATCCAGATCTTAAACTGTATATTCTTGGGGATGCACGAAGCTACAAGGTCGCAAAAAATTGAACTTTTTGCCACACACAAGTAGATTTTTCATACTCTCAGAAAGAAGATTTTTAGCCATTTGCAATTATTCAATCCCTTAAACCTCATTTTGAAAACTGATTTTAAACACACAGTTTTAACACTAGATTTATGAAGATAAGGAAATGGAATAGAATGTAAATGTGGAAAGGGAATAGAAACCTTTACTTACAACTAAACCTGTTTTCCCCCATCATCTCCCGGTGACAACCTGGGACAGAACTTTGAATAAGAAAGTTTTTGCACGATTATGAGTGGAAAGCAACGAACCACAGAGGAAAGGGAAGAACCGTGTTCTGTCTCAGTGCGTTTGTGCTGAAGTTGGGGAGAAATGCAAGGATTTTATTCTAAAAACCTGGGGGGAAATGCTGGGATAGAAACGGCTCTCGGCAATGCGGTGATGACCCTCTGACGGCGCTTTCCTTGTTGTGTGCAGCCGGAGATGCAGCTGCTGGCCGTGCTGGGCTGTGCCCTGTCCCTGCTGTCCCTGCTGTCCCTGGTGTCGCTGCTGTCCCCGGGGGTGGCGGATGAGCAATGCCCACCCCCCTGCAGCTGCAGCTCTCTGGGGGATGCTCGGGGCACACGCGTGGATTGCGCCTCTCGGGGGCTGCGCTCGCTGCCCGCGCTGCCCCGCCTGACCCGCAGCCTGCTCCTGCACAACAACAGCCTGGCCTCCATCCCCAGCGGGGCCCTGGACGGCCTGGGGCTCCTGCAGGAGCTGAATCTGTCGCACAACCCCTGGCACTGCGACTGTCGCCTGCTGTACCTGCGGCTGTGGCTGGAGGATGCGGCGGTGGCCGCGCTCGCCCCGCTGCGCTGTGCCAGCCCCGCCGCGCTGCGCWTGAGAGCCCTGCAGCGCCTCACGGGCAACGAGCTGGGGCCCTGCAAGAGGCTCCTCCCCACCAAGTGCCTCCAGTTCTTCTGGCGAGACCTGCTTTTAATTGCCGGGGCCATCATTAGCCTGGTTTTGGCGGCGTGCGCGCTCAAGTTSTCCAAGAAGCTGCGGTGCCGGCTGCTGCTCGGGGCGCGCCGGGGCAGGATCGGCTCCAAAAACCGCAAGGTGCAGTGAGCTGCGAGCTGCCTCAGCCCAAACACCGCTTCAAATGGTGACTGCTACRAAAGCTCAAAGCCCGGGCCCTCAGACGCGTTTATTTCCTTAAAAAAAAAATAAAATAATAAAAAAAAAAGCTTGGTGAGGTATTGACAAATACCTCAGATTTCATTCTGCTGCCATGTGCTCGTATGAAGAAAAGTTTCTACATTTTTTTAAAAAATCATTTGGCTTAGCATTTTTCTATTGAACTCTCAGCTCTTATGCAAAGAAGATTTACATCCCCAAATCGTTCAATTTGTAATCTATGGAGATGAACACCAATTGTATTATTTTAACAACCCTTTTCTCACTGAGAAGCTCTGTGAATTTACAGCCCATCACCATTTCTTGATGTCCCAGTGAGCTTGGAAGGACCATTCTTATGTAYAAACTCTTCCCCAGTTTCAGGAGCTTCCTGCCAGCAAAATCACSAAGATTATACAGAGCAGCCACTGAATATGTCCCTTCTCGAACAGATTTAAAGATGGACTGGTAATGAGAATATAATCAGCAAAATTATTAYGTTTCCTGGAAGGTGAACAATAGAAAAGCATCCTATGTGAAACTGAAATAATGGACAATTTTTGAACATTCATATTGACCCAAATTTAATCTCTGTCACAATTCTAAACATTTCTCATTAAAATTCTAAGAGATTTCCAGAACTCGTCCTCTGGTTTTTCTACAGACATTTGATGCACTGAATTTTAAGTAACAGCTTTGAGAGGACATATACACTCTTCCCTTCTCTTCTTGTGACCCCCATCCTCATGGAAAAATTGTGTTAACTCAAAAATGAGAAATAACACAGACCCCCC